TGGGAATATATTTATACTGAAAATGGGGTCCTCTATAAATTATTATAATTTTCTGTCATTCCCCCCTCCTTTCCACTCCCAATATGTGAAACATGCTTTCCTTCATTTTCTTTTTCAAATAATTCCTCCATCGTACCAGTGATGGAGGGGATTTCCCTCCTGTGGAACTAGGGTCAAAGGCCATCTGCTTTTGATGGAACATAACAAAGATTCAAAATTCTGTTGTCTGCTTGGCCACCTGATTATGGAATTGATATTTTTGGGAGGAAAAAGGCAGCGGCGTGTAAAGAGAGAACACTGTAGGACATTGACATAGTTTAGTAATAATTATGCTACTTAATATTGAGTTTCCTGTTTCCAATTTCTTTATTTTCATTCACTCTTGCAGCGGATCATTCTCTTGTAACTTCAAGTGAAAAATTGTCTGTTGCTGCCGATCAATGAGAAATAGGATGCCGACCACTAATGAATGTTCAACTTCATCTTCAATAAGCAATCAACAGGATGCTGGGAATGATAGGATGATTGCCGTCTTACTTTCTGAAGAGTATGCTAAATTAGATGGTGCAATTGCTCAACGGCTTTCCGAGTTTGCACCTGTTCCTGTAAGATATATATAGAACTAAAATATCGTGCAACCTTTTATAGAGACTATCTCCAAAGAAAATGAGTTAATGTTTTAGCACACAGTACACATGTCATCTGTGACTATCTACATGCCATGATTTGGATTGTGCTGATTCTTTTCTGTCCGTATTAATAGGCTTTCAGATGATAAGCGATGTAACTCAGTACATACTTTCATCTTTTGGTACATATCTGTAAGCTTGATTTAGCTCATACTTCTGTAGTAGAAGCGAGTTGGTCTTTGTTGCACTTGAATGTGAAACTGTTATATTTCAACATTTAGATCTTGCTGAGGATGTTACATTGATATGTTAGATAGAAGTTTTTCATTTTGTTGAACATCTTGTTCTGTATAATTGTACTTGTACTTTCTTGGAGACAATTTCATCCACTTGTACAGGTTCCCAAGCACCCATTTGTCTGACACTCTGATGACTGTTCTAGAATTGGGACATGTATATATTTAATTATAATTTTATTTTATTTTTTTGGATTTTTTATTAGGTTCAAAGAGTTGCATCTTTTTCATCTTTCAGTAACAACATGAAACTCCATTCTTCTAGTTAGGATCAAACTATTGATCAAACTATTGTGCCTGGAGTTTTTAAATCACATTAGTTAAAGACTTGAATTTGGCAGACTGCCTTTATTGAAATTTTTTCCATAGTTGAGATTTTTTTTTTTTTTTCATTCACTCAGTTTCTTGTTGTTTGTGCTATTCAGTATCTAAACCAAAAGCCTCTCAAGAGCTTGTAAGACATTAGGATATTTCTCAGATTATATTGATTTCCTTTACTCAGCACAAAAATCAGTATAATGGTGTTTATGGCTGTTCCCTTGCTTCAAAATAGAGGTATATGCTTCTGATAAGTGTGTTGTGAAACTCTTTTACCTCATCTTCCTCTGGAGAATCTATATATTACTGGTTTCTCCATAAGTTGGTTGACATTGATGTGTTTCCTTCACAGTTTAAAGCTGGCAAGTGCTATGATATGTTTATTTGCACATGATTGTAATGAGAAATTGTTTGCCTAGAAGAGTGACCAACGGGCTTAGCTTGTAGGATGAGCAATATCCTTTCTGGAGTAAGGTTTTACGTGGTCGTGTTGGATTCTGATAATCTTTCTAAAGAGATTGTGCCCTTGTTTGGGATCCATTTTAATTTTGATGCATTTTTCTTTTTCTTCTTTTTAACTACACATTCTTGAATAAAATAATATCACACGTAAATGCAAAACTTTTCCTTCTTTTTTAACCACACATTCTCCAAAAAATCACTATTCAAAATTACATTTTTCCCTTACAGAGCCCAAACAGGGGCTGTGTAAACTGCAAATTTTCACACATTTCCTTGGAAGTTGGTAGCTTGTCGTTTTCTTTCTGAGCTTTGCATTAGTTTAGTTCATTGAGAAACAAAAGATTGGCGAACACGTGTTTACAAAATCAAAACAGGTTGGGTTAGAAAGGACAAAATGTTTGACAATAAATGAAAGACTTCCTTGTATGAATCTAGCTTTATTGGATGTTAACTAATGTTTGGTAAGACAAGAAGAAATTGAATGGAAATAAATGTTAATGAGAAACGCACAGTGGAAGCTGCAATAACTAAGTGTAAGCATTGACTCGTTAACAGATAAAAGTATCCTTACCTCTCATTATAGTAAAAGAGTTTAAAAACCACATAAGTGATAAGTAACTGATAGTTCGGAATCTAAAAGCGTAATAACAATGGATTAGACTTCTTATGGCACCATTTCGAGACAATCTTTTGTTTCATTTCCACTTTTTGAATGTGAAAAGTTGCTTTTGGCTTCAGAACTTCATATATCATTCCTTGTTGTCTGTCAACTCCTTTGCCAAGTCCAAGATCAAATTATTATCAAATTTCCTTTTTGTTTCTCCACTTTTTCTTGAATGATTTCAATTCTTCAAAGAAGGAAAAATCTGTAGTAGTTAAAGTATATTGGGTACTACAGTGTGTCTTGAACAATACTTAATGCTTAGCCTAGACTCACAGTTACTAAATATAAAGACGACATGCTTTCTAACACTAAAAGAGCCATTGCCAGAGTGTATAGTCTTCAAGTTAAATTAGGTTAGAATATTTAGTGTAAATATCATTATGGATCTTCATCATAATTCAATTTTAATGTATTTTTATCACCTGTTGTGGTTCTTGTATACTATCCTGTCATTCTTACATAAGCATCTTTATTCTATTTTTTTTATTTTCTTTTTTCTTTTTTCTCACTGAATGATGTACAATCTTTTGAACATTCTCTTAAATGTTATTTGCATGGATAGCTACGTAACTTGGACTAGCTCAGCATGGAGATTAATATCAGAAACCGATAAAAGCTTCAGTTCACACCTCATAGCAATGTAAATATGTACAAGCAATTGCAAAGTTCATTTAACTATGGAAAATGTTTAATTAATATTTGAGAAATGGCATAACACTGTCATAAAAAAAAATTGTCTTTTTGCTCTTTGCCTTGTATTTGTGCATGAGTTGTACTGGTCTATTCTTTACTGGAGAATTTTCCTTAAGTAAAGACCAGTTAAAGCTCCAGCTATTATGGATTCCATTCATGATATTATTTATGAAACCAATACAAAGAAGGAACTTTTACTGCTGAAGATTCTCTTTAAAGGATATTGATTTTTCTTTTGTTGTTACTGCAGAAGCCATTATTTTTTATTTCTCTTTAAGGGTTACCTGTGTCTTTCTATTGGATTAGTAACCTCTTGGTACATCATTTCTCCTTAACAGTATTTATATATTTTCAGCACATTCCGCGGATCAATTCACACATTCCCACCTTAAGCGACACAAATTTGGATTACCAACGGCTCCTCCAAAGGTACGTCTCATTTGGTTCATATGTGGAGGACCTCCAACATCCATTTTCTATTTATCAAAATGCATCCTCTTTTTCTTCCAAAAGTTAGAAGATGGGAATACAGAAAGATGGTTTTTAGTCAAGCTGAAATGCATAAGGATAGAAAACACCCCATATTCAAATAGCGGGGTCTGTCAGTTTCACAATCTTTTATACAGAAATCATGTACATCAGTCATATACATTATAGAGGAAAGAAAGACAGGCAGAATAAACTTCATTATGTGCAATACCTTTTATTTCTGGAAAGGGCACATAAGCAATGGGCAGTCTTTTTAAGTTATAACTGAGGTTTATGAGTAATATCTTCTCATTGGTTGTTAGTGATTAGAACTGGCTTTTTTTACCTGGAACTTAGAGTAGGTCTTTTGATCTAATAGGATGATTTCAGAGGCAGACCGAGGTCCAGTCAACATACAGTTGGTGCAGCATTTTCCTGTAGTATATAATGTCTTGTCATGTTAACATTTGTTGGCTTACTTTTCCTCTACACTGGACTAATCAAATGTGCGGGAGATATCAGAAGAGCTATAGTATATCCGAAGATGGAGAAGGGATTTTGTTGTTGGGATCCTTTTCCTCTACACGGGGCTAATCAAATGTGCAAGGGGTATCAGGAGGGCTTTAGTAGGTTCCGAATATGGATAAGGAATTTGGTCATAAAATTAGTAAAAGATTTATCATAATAGAGAACACTTGCCTTTCTTTTTCCAAGTTAAGACGATGATTTCGTGAACAATCACAGGATTCTCTAAGACCCTGTTTGAGAGGGCATTATTTTCCATGGAAAAAATTGTCCACATTTGGCTCACATGCTCACCNTCACATGCTCACCAATTCCTTGGTTTTGTGGAAAATCATTTCCCACCATTTTGGTGGGAATTGATTTGCCATTTTTTTTTTAAGCAAGTGGAAAATTTTTTAGATACAATGTTAAAAAAATTTATTACTTTTATTGATAATTTTCATACAAACAAAGCAAAACGAATGATATTCTGTATGATAATTTTTTTAAAAAAAAATTTTTATTTTTTTTTATTTTTTTGGCAAGTGAAACAAATTCTAGACCCAGTGGTAAAGGAAATTATCACTTTAATGGACAATTTTCATGAAAAAAGCCAAACGGACACCAAACTTTCAACATTTTTCAGGTGAAAATTATACCAATCAAACATAATTAATTACAATTCCCAATAAAACAATTTCTGGACAATTCAATTTCCAAGAATTCATTTTCTTTCC